AAGGCGAGGCAGAAAGAGGGGCTGACGATATGGATCCAAAGGGTCATAAGTCTTGTCGGCTGTCTCGTGGCAGGAGATTAAGGAGCCGCTAGAGAACGACTGCTGCGCTGTTCCAGGACCTTCTTCCGGAAGTGCAAAATGTTTGCTGTTAGTGAGAATTCCATATTTGAGTTATATTGCTGTTACGTGTGTGAGCCTGCTTGAAGGCAGAGCTGATGGATGACCTCTAACAGCAGAAAAATGCCCAGTTGCCTTGGGTTCTTTTTTTTTCTCCGTTTGCCTGAGCCGCTCTCCTTGCTCTCCTTTTTTGAGAGAAATTACAAATATCCTTTCAGATTTTCACACTATCTTACTATATCTGTCAACAGCAGTCAATCAGTTTGAGGGTATTCACAGCAGTTGGTCCCCCCGAGTTCCCCAGGATAGAATTAAACGTTTAAAATCATGTTGAATAAAAGGATTATGAAAGAATTCTTATCCTTGACCCTGCTCCATGACTGTCACTTTTCCTTCTACCTAATTTTAATTCAGTGCAAAGAGAACTAGAATTGTTCAGTGCAAAATATGATAACCATTGAGTTGGAAGACCTTGCCCTCAAGCCCTCAATTTTTTTTTACATGGAACTGGTGGGAAAATAAATTATGATGAGGAGGAAGAATACTTTAAAAAGAAACTTAAAAATGGGAAGGTGCTTAAGAGGATTTTGTTAGTAAGTAATTTCAGGCCATGCTCTGAAGAACATCTTGGGTGCCGCAAAGGATTTTTTTCGCAGCTATGCGAGTCTAATAACAGATAATACTTTTATCACTAAGGTCATGCCTCACTTAGTTTCTTGTACCACTGAGGTTGTCATAACAGTAGTCTTAACGTTGCTTTTTAAAATTTAGTTAATTGACTGTAGCATACACCAAAATCGCATATATATGGAATGGATGCATGTCTGACCATAAGTGTCGTAATACTTTGTGGTTTTATTTTTTAGGGATTATGTTAGGAGTGAATTGGAATCGGGATATGAAGGGCCAATGTACTTGGAACCTCTCTCTATGAATCGTTTCATGACTGCTTTAGTAGGTAAGTGGGTTAAATATTTGTGATATAGGGGAGAACTCGGCTTCATTCTTGAATCTTGCGTGTTTTACCTTTGTGGTCTCAAATTTTTCTGTTGCTTTAGTAGTTGTGATCTTCTGCAAGAGGCGTGGAAGGCTACGTGTGTCCTGCCTGGCTCTTTATATGCTGCAGATTTACCAATACTCCCTTGCTTACAGATATGAAGTATTTTCTAGGTCTATTTTGGAGCCTCCTCCCCCCCCCTTTTTTTTTAATTTAGTGTTAGATTTAAATGTTTTCTGGGTTCATCTGGGTTTTCTAATGAATCCATTACACTATTGTGAAGATGCATTTTTTTGCAGTTCTTTGTCTATACTTCATAATTGTGTATCTGAAATGAGATATGTATTGTAAATTAGCAGACTATCAAAAGTGAATGATGTAGATATATGCTTATAGAAGCACTTTAAATTCATGTCTAGGAGTTTGGGTGAAAACACCACAAACCAATTAGCAGCTCTTTTAGAAGCTATTTTAACACAGTTGGTGGCAGAAGGGATATTTTTCTTATGAGTGCTGTCTTGTTTTGTCTGTGGTATTCCACATGCTCCCCTCCCCGCTAAACAGGGTCAAGGCATGAAGGAAAAAGGGAAAAAGATCTGAAGGTATCCTGTAAATGGTCACTTCAGTTTGTAGTGGCAGGTCACTTTTCCTGAGCACCTAGCACTTTTTTGGAAGGAATTATAATATTGTTTAATTCTTCTGCACTTACCATTTCTAGAATTGTGCTTCCTAAATGTAGTCCCCTGCTTCCATGATGTTCTTGTACTTACAGTCTGGTTCAGAACGGCTGGACTTTCTAGAATATTACTTAGGTGGAAAGTACTGCAGAAATTCCAACGCTAGCAAGTGTTTGTAATGCTTGTCTTTGACAATGCTGTACAAGCATTTTTCTTTATTGGCTGTATAGATGAACACTATTATCCCCTTACAAAGAACTGATGGACGTAAGATTGGCTGAGTAGTGTCTTTTATCACACAGAAGGTGAGTGTGTATATGAATGTACAGGCTTTTTTTTTTTTTTTTTTTTTAACTGAATGCCAGCAATATTTCTAATTAAACAGTTACGGAGCCACGAGTCAAGCCTACTTTTAAAGTGCGTGGTTAATGGCAGAGGTGACTTTTCTACATAAAAATCTAAAAGAAATCCTGAAGAATTGGACTTCCTACACTCTTTTTCCCTTGCACTCCCTTCCCAAATGAACTTTGACTGGAAGAGAATAAATTCAGCATTAAGGTTGCTGAGCCATACCATATGTTATACTGAGAGGATACTGGCATACACATACCCTGTGTATTTTGAAATTAAGCCTAAGATAAACTCTGAAGGGAATTAAGGAAGATTTTTCTTCTCTTAGATCTATGGGTTTCAGTCAGCTATGTACTCTTGGCAAAACTCGGCTTCTTTCTGTTTGCTTGCAGCTGCTAAGGGATTGAGAGTCTGCCAGGAGATTTAAATGAGTTTACCTTTTTACAGTATGTTAGGTCTACCAGACTATATGTATCTCCTGTGTGCCTGGTTTCTAACTTTCAAATGGGAGGTTTTTCTTTGCTTTTAATGATTTCTTACGGAAATAACACTGGTGTTTTCTGAGGAAAGGAAATCTTCTTTAGAGATCGTTTTCCCTCTTCTGAGTTTCTAGATATATTAAATTTTACTCTAATTTGCCCTACTCTATAGTGTTAAGGTTGCTGAAGCTTAGCGCTCAGCAGTGCTCCTTCTTGGTGAGCCGGTGACAAACTTGCGTTGCATAGTTTTATTTATTCCTGGCAAAAGGTCCTGTGTGTCTGTCATGGTAATTTCTTGTCAAATGACACTGAACTACAGCTAAAGCCTTAAGTGTATTTCAGTGAGAAAATATCTGCAATTAATGCTTTGAATCTCGCTCAGGTGCAATGCGAGGACCCATTGTGAAGCAGAATCAGTCAGAGCGCTTTACAAAGCAGCAGGCAGGCCTGAGTAGGAGGAGGAATAATTGTGCTACTGATACAGCTGTGTTTCCTGAAAGTTCTGGTCAGAGTTAAAGGGAAGCTGTACAGCACTCCAGTTGGTTCACAAATTTAATCTGCCGTTGTTAATGCTTTTATTCATTAGTGCTTTTGTGAATAGCCTCTCATAGTCATTCCTTCCTCCTGGATCTAATTCAGTCTAACAGCTGTTGACGACAGGGGTTACTAATACGCTCCTGAGTGCTCTAGGTAGAATAAATGCATGTCTTGGAGGACTGCTTCTTGGATGGATGTGCCACTTCGTGAGCATGTCAGGTGTAAAAGTTCAAAGCTATGTGGTTTCGGAAGCTATGCTGTCTTGAAGACTTGCTTTTTCTTAATGCTTTATAATGGGATTGTATGTTAACTTCTAAGCCATCCTGGTTTTCACGTAAGTTAATGTGGTAGCCAGGAAATTTCTTAACATCCACTTTTTAAAAGTGGGGATGAAACAAAGACGGTTCCGTACTAAGAGTGGTTTGAATGGAGGTTTTACCACTTAGGCTTACTTGTCGCACGTTTTCTACTGGCTAGGAGGCTTTGACTGCCTATCAGCAATGTTTAATATGTTTTTGGAGGTTTGGGGAAGGGAAAGAATGTCCGAAACTTCAGGCAACAGATTTCTTCCTTATTCTCTCATTCCCTAGTAGACAGCCTTTGTTTTCTGCAGGAGATTTCCAGCTGTAGGATTCATTGACTGTGTCTGGCAGTTTTCAGTCCACGGCATTTAAGTTTACAAAACACAAACAGTCAGCTGGATTTGCTAATCTTAGAAGTTAGAGCGCTAAAATTTCTTTATGTATTGATATAAAGTAGAGATTCATTTCTTTTGGGCTGATACTGCTACCATGTTTGTGGTGTCTCACAGTGTACAGCCCCACATGGAGATAAACTATGGTCTATGGCAGAACGATTTTTCTATCCTGAAATAAAGTGCTGCTACTCTAGTTTAAAACGGGCAGTACCAGTCGCTAAAAGTTCTCGTAGAGGCATCTTTTCAGGCCCTTCCTGAAGGGATCAAGAAGCGACAAGATGCAGACTTCAGAAAGGAGATCAGAACCTCAAGAGAAAGTGCTCCGTTTACTTCCTTTGATGGTGTCCAACTCTCCTTCCCCTAACTAGTAACTTTAAATCAGTGTTTGGGCTGAAAAGGCTCGAGGGAGAGAGAGCTTAACGGAGATGACTGGAATACTTGGCACATCACTCCTTTGAGGAAAGCAGTCGTTGCTGTTTCATGAGATGAGACTGGAATTTGAGGTCCTCTTTTGTGGTAAGAGAGCTCCAAAGTGTGCACCCTCAAGAGTGCTGGATAGTTCAACCTGATGTCATGGCCGTCCTTTATTTCAGATGATAACATTCTTATTAAATCCCAAAGAGCATATCGGATGCTAGTATTTGTATCCCTTTGTGTGTGAGGCTGGGTTGCCTTAGTTACCATGAGTCACAGAAATCATAGCAAGCTGACTGTGGCCCCTGAATATTATGGCACAGCAGCGTGTTGCTGCTGTCTGAGCTGGGATTGTAGCAACATGTTTTTCTTTTTTGCTGCCAAGCGTGTATTTGGGCAGAGAACAACAAAGCAAAGAGAGGATGCTTCAGAGTTGGAGTCTGTACTTTTTAGAAAGATAAGCAGAGTAGCTTTCTCTGTGATCAGGCTTATGAGACCCAGTATGCTGTGTCAAAGCTGATAAAGTGTCTTGCTGAAAGCACTTATACTCGTTCTGAAAATACGCCTGGTAACTTGAAAAATACATTTAGCAAATTGAGAGTAGGACTTAACGCGCAGCTTGAGAGGTCAGTGTAAAGGGGGAAGAACTTTGTATGTTGAAGGAATAGTGTTCAGAGATTTCTCATTTCAAAATAACTGAAACTGAGATGAAACAGTTCTTTTCTGGGTAGGAAAGCTAGGTAGGATGAAAGACAAACCCTAGCATATTATCGTTTCTCCTCTTCCAACTTCCCTTCATAATCCATCTAATTCCAGGAGGACTTACAATGTCAGCCAGTTTATGCGATTGCGTGGAGCTAGCTCAGACCAAGAGAGATTATTTCCCTGATGTTATTAGACTGTGCTTGGCTGGGACTAACTCCTAGTTCCAAGAAAAGATGAGAAATTCAAGGATTAGTGGAGGTGGCTCCAAAACAGCACGTTAACGCTTGCGCTTGGTACTGTGTATTGTGGCTTCCAGACCTAAGCAAATATACGTGAGAACAAGGTTTCACTCTTGTAGGAATATGTAATAAGCTTTTTCCTTACTGCGAAATTATGGATGAGAACTGTTCTTACCCAAGCAATATGTATTTGGCCCATTCTGCTTCCTCTGAGATAAAAGGTACAACTTCCAGTGACTCTTAATACGATCAGTTAGGCTGGTGTGGTCCGCTCTAGAAATACCGCCCTCCAAATCTGTGTGTGTGGGGGAGAGATGTGCTCATGCTTGTGCCCCCGCCAGCAGTTAAAAGAGAATGTAGTTTTTAAGTATCTGTCACTTGCAAGCTTCAGAAATAATTTTGAGCAACTGCCCTAGGGCATTACAAAATTATTGAAGTCTCAGCTGCTGACCTGGCTGCTCTCCTGTTCTTGACCAGTAATTCCTCTTGACAGTAAAAATATTGTTGATCTAAAAGCCGTTTGGGATCTCTGATTGCTCTTTTTCCTAGATCAGGCAGGGTAAAATAGTAGTATAGCTAGGCTTCAGAAAAGCTATTGTTGTATATACAGATAACTGGTGGGATTTCTGTTGAGTTGCGAACGTTAAGGGCAAGGACAGAGGCATGACTTGGTTAGTCATCCTCTGCGTGATTTCTCCCTGGAGCTCTGTGTTAAGCAGAATATGATTCTGCATTTGTTTCGGGGCAACATCTCTCTAATCTGTAAAGTGAAAGCATATCCTTTGCATGTTTTGAAAATGATAACTTTTATGACCTGGCAAAAGATGCAGAGGAGCCTGATTTCATTAGAGCTGTGATAATATTCTGGATGATAAATGTATTATGAAAGATACTGTATTGAAATATGTTTTCCTTGAAGGGATAATCAGCTTGATATAAAATACTGTGTTGCATTTCCAGGTCAGCTGGTGGTATGTACACTCTGCTCCTGCGTCATGAAAACAAAACAGATCTGGCTTTTCTCTGCTCACATGCTCCCTCTACTGGCACGTCTCTGCCTGGTCCCTTTGGAAACCATTGTTGTCATCAACAAATTTGCCATGATTTTCACTGGTTTAGAAGTTCTCTACTTTCTGGCATCTAATCTTCTGGTGCCCTATAATTTGGCAAAATCTGCATACAGAGAGCTTGTCCAGGTAAGACTTGTACACAGAACATAAGAGTTTTATTGTCTTTGGCCTGAACTTTTGTGCAGGAATGAAACAGCAAAGTAGTTTGTCTTCTGTGCATCTGTTTGTATGTTAACTCAGGCTTTCTTAGCAAACACAATGTGTGCTCCTATCCACAGACTCTTCCTTCTGTAATTTATGGAAACTTGCAATTTGCATGATTGAGCAGTTGCAGCGATAGCCTGAGTTATGCTCTTGGCTAGCTAAGCATTCCCACTTTGTTTGGACTTCACTTAGTCTTTCCAAATGCAAACTAAAAGACAGGATTGTGGCAGAATGGAGTTTTACATTTACAGCCTCATTGAATAATCAAGGTACTTTCCATGTAGCAGTTGCAGTAGCCATTCTTTTTTTAAAAAAACACCTTCTATATGACAAGCATTTGTAATTATAATAGTTTTAGGCTGGGAACAATGCTAAAGCTGAACAGTCTCTATAACTTAAAGTGTGATTCTAAAGGCCTATGGTATTTTCTTCAGAACAGTAGCATTTGCTCAAATATCTTAAAAAAAAAAAAAAAAAAAACCCTAAGCCAAAACAAAAAAAGTTACCAAATACGTAAGACTGATCTGAGATGCATCCGTTCTATTAACCCTTTGGCATCTAATATCTAATGTATACTTCGTTAAAGGGTGCTGTGTTAATGGTACATAAACATCATGCCTTCATATATCTCAAAATAAAAAATTGATGCTTGCTTGCTTTTGACTGACCTGCTAGTTCTGCCCCTACCACTCCCTGTATTCTTTTCAAACCACGTCCCTAGTTTTCTGCCTGCTGCTCTTCGCTCCAGAAGTCATCTGAAAACTAACTTGTTAAGCTCCTTCAAAGCCCTCTTTAAAGCTCTCCTTTGTTGTCATATCTGTCATGTCCAAACAAAAACTTGGCAGCGGTAGGTGTCTGGTGTGCCAAGGTCTCAGCCTGTCACTTTGATCATTACTGTCTTGTTATTTGTTTTGTATGTAATTGGTCTTTGGAGCAGGATTATCCTTCTGTGCTTGTACAACTCCTAGCATGGTCTGATCATATCCATAGCTAGCTTGCAGATTTGCTGATAAAACGCATTTGGGAGCTAACAGGCAAAGCTCCAGTATCCTCGCTTTCCAGTGAAGATGAGAAAGCTGGGTTTGCTCTTTGCTGAAGAAGGGGGGGAAAAAAGAGAAAGCAGTAACATTTATGGTAAAACTGAGAACTATGCAACTTGAAGACTTGCAAGAGTTTGGAGCCAACACTTTGATTTTCCACACATGCAGAAGTCAGCTTCCTGAAGTCAAATTCAAATCTAATGTGGATTTGAGTCATGTATCTATTTTTCTAGGAACTTTGTGTTTAAAACACTTGAACATCTTAACAAGGTTTTAATTGCGTATACCTTCCTGTTGGAATGAAACACACCGAATTTTTTTTTTT